CAGTGCCGTATCCAGGGCTCAGGTGACACCTAGCAGTGCCGTATCCAGTGCCGTATCCAGGGCTCAGGTGACACCTAGCAGTGCCGTATCCAGCGCTCAGGTGACACCTAGCAGTGCCGTATCCAGCGCTCAGGTGACACCTAGCAGTGCCGTATCCAGGGCTCAGGTGACACCTAGCAGTGCCGTATCCAGGGCTCAGGTGACACCTAGCAGTGCCGTATCCAGCGCTCAGGTGACACCTAGCAGTGCCGTATCCAGGGCTCAGGTGACACCTAGCAGTGCCGAATCCAGTGCCGTATCCAGGGCTCAGGTGACACCTAGCAGTGCCGTATCCAGCGCTCAGGTGACACCAGCAGTGCCGTATCCAGGGCTCAGGTGACACCTAGCAGTGCCGTATCCAGTGCCGTATCCAGGGCTCAGGTGACACCTAGCAGTGCCATATCCAGCGCTCAGGTGACACCTAGCAGTGCCGAATCCAGCGCTCAGGTGACACCTAGCAGTGCCGTATCCAGTGCCGTATCCAGGGCTCAGGTGACACCTAGCAGTGCCGTATCCAGTGCCGTATCCAGGGCTCAGGTGACACCTAGCAGTGCCGTATCCAGCGCTCAGGTGACACCTAGCAGTGCCGAATCCAGCGCTCAGGTGACACCTAGCAGTGCCGTATCCAGTGCCGTATCCAGGGCTCAGGTGACACCTAGCAGTGCCGTATCCAGCGCTCAGGTGACACCTAGCAGTGCCGTATCCAGGGCTCAGGTGACACCTAGCAGTGCCGTATCCAGCGCTCAGGTGACACCTAGCAGTGCCGTATCCAGGGCTCAGGTGACACCTAGCAGTGCCGTATCCAGCGCTCAGGTGACACCTAGCAGTGCCGTATCCAGCGCTCAGGTGACACCAGCAGTGCCGTATCCAGGCCTCAGGTGACACCAGCAGTGCCGTATCCAGGGCTCAGGTGACACCTAGCAGTGTCGTATCCAGCGCTCAGGTGACACCTAGCAGTGCCGTATCCAGCGCTCAGGTGACACCTAGCAGTGCCGTATCCAGCGCTCAGGTGACACCTAGCAGTGCCGTATCCAGCGCTCAGGTGACACCTAGCAGTGCCGTATCCAGGGCTCAGGTGACACCTAGCAGTGCCGTATCCAGCGCTCAGTTGACACCTAGCAGTGCCGTATCCAGCGCTCAGGTGACACCTAGCAGTGCCGTATCCAGGGCTCAGGTGACACCTAGCAGTGCCGTATCCAGCGCTCAGGTGACACGTAGCAGTGCCGAATCCAGGGCTCAGGTGACACCTAGCAGTGCCGTATCCAGCGCTCAGGTGACACCTAGCAGTGCCGAATCCAGGGCTCAGGTGACACCTAGCAGTGCCGTATCCAGCGCTCAGGTGACACCTAGCACTGCCGAATCCAGCGCTCAGGTGACACCTAGCAGTGCCGTATCCAGCGCTCAGGTGACACCTAGCAGTGCCGTATCCAGCGCTCAGGTGACACCTAGCAGTGCCGAATCCAGCGCTCAGGTGACACCTAGCAGTGCCGTATCCAGGGCTCAGGTGACACCTAGCAGTGCCGTTTCCAGCGCTCAGGTGACACCTAGCAGTGCCGTATCCAGCGCTCAGGTGACACCTAGCAGTGCCGTATCCAGCGCTCAGGTGACACCTAGCAGTGCCGTATCCAGGGCTCAGGTGACACCTAGCAGTGCCGAATCCAGCGCTCAGGTGACACCTAGCAGTGCCGTATCCAGCGCTCAGGTGACACCTAGCAGTGCCGTATCCAGCGCTCAGGTGACAGCTAGCAGTGCCGTATCCAGCGCTCAGGTGACAGCTAGCAGTGCCGTATCCAGGGCTCAGGTGACACCTAGCAGTGCCGTATCCAGGGCTCAGGTGACACCTAGCAGTGCCGTATCCAGGGCTCAGGTGACACCTAGCAGTGCCGTATCCAGGGCTCAGGTGACACCTAGCAGTGCCGTATCCAGCGCTCAGGTGACACCTAGCAGTGCCGTATCCAGCGCTCAGGTGACACCTAGCAGTGCCGTATCCAGCGCTCAGGTGACACCTAGCAGTGCCGAATCCAGCGCTCAGGTGACACCTAGCAGTGCCGTATCCAGGGCTCAGGTGACACCTAGCAGTGCCGTATCCAGCGCTCAGGTGACACCTAGCAGTGCCGTATCCAGCGCTCAGGTGACACCTAGCAGTGCCGTATCCAGCGCTCAGGTGACACCTAGCAGTGCCGTATCCAGCGCTCAGGTGACACCAGCAGTGCCGAATCCAGCGCTCAGGTGACAGCTAGCAGTGCCGTATCCAGGGCTCAGGTGACACCTAGCAGTGCCGTATCCAGCGCTCAGGTGACAGCTAGCAGTGCCGTATCCAGGGCTCAGGTGACACCTAGCAGTGCCGTATCCAGGGCTCAGGTGACACCTAGCAGTGCCGTATCCAGGGCTCAGGTGACACCTAGCAGTGCCGTATCCAGCGCTCAGGTGACACCTAGCAGTGCCGTATCCAGGGCTCAGGTGACACCTAGCAGTGCCGTATCCAGCGCTCAGGTGACACCTAGCAGTGCCGAATCCAGGGCTCAGGTGACACCTAGCAGTGCCGTATCCAGGGCTCAGGTGACACCTAGCAGTGCCGTATCCAGGGCTCAGGTGACACCTAGCAGTGCCGTATCCAGCGCTCAGGTGACACCTAGCAGTGCCGAATCCAGCGCTCAGGTGACACCCAGCAGTGCCGTATCCAGGGCTCAGGTGACACCCAGCAGTGCCGTATCCAGCGCTCAGGTGACACCTAGCAGTGCCGTATCCAGCGCTCAGGTGACACCTAGCAGTGCCGAATCCAGGGCTCAGGTGACACCTAGCAGTGCCGTATCCAGGGCTCAGGTGACACCTAGCAGTGCCGTATCCAGGGCTCAGGTGACACCTAGCAGTGCCGTATCCAGCGCTCAGGTGACACCTAGCAGTGCCGAATCCAGCGCTCAGGTGACAGCTAGCAGTGCCGTATCCAGCGCTCAGGTGACACCGCTACTGCTGGACGAGTGTGTCGGGTGGGAGTGACCTGGAGTGATCAAGGACTTTGTTGATTGGTGTCAATTGAATTACCTTCACATCAATGTTACCAAGACAAGAGAACTGGTGATTGACTTGCGTAGAAAGGCCTCAAATACTGTAATATCAGCATATCTCAGTATTGACACCATGGGACCAGTTTCATTTTTTTAGGAGAGTATATTTACCCATATACTTGTATTTACGATATTTATTTATTTAAATATGTTTCATTTATATTTAATGTTATATCTGTTATAATGCTTTTTTGGTGTTCCTACATAATTTACCTTTGGAATATATAGTTACAATATGTTTTTTGTCGCCTTAAGTGTAATATTTGTCTTTGTCCTGCTTATGCTGCTGTAACGCCTACATTTCCCCTTGGGGATCAATAAAGTTGTATCTTATCTTATCTGAAAAATAAGGGTGTGTGACATTAAATATGTCTTTTTGATTATGAAAGATGCGTTTTATGGGATACAATTATTGACTGCAAGGAGACTTTAACTAATATTAACTAATGGAACTTTGTCATGTAGTGTTAACATTCATAATGCCTGATGTTACTGGTCTTATTGTGAACAATTCCTCCATGCATTTTGTATTTTTATTTTATTTAATCAAATCTCAGATTTGCTCTTGCTGTGATTTGGCTGGCTTGGCGTCTGATGTTAGCAGTGCTCACTTTTCATCATCCAATCAAAACATCATAGATTAAATCAAGTCCTGCCCTAGTTGTTCATGTGCGATGACACTCTGGACTGGGAAAGTATAATATTGGTCACGACGTCTGTTTCAGGACGGGCTGCGACTCAAACTCGGTTAGATCAGCTGAGACGTGGTGAACTCATAATCTCTTTTGCTGCATTTGATTGTCATTGAGTGACAGATTATTAAGCGGTGATTGAAACGCTCAGCCAGCGGCTTCATGTCAGAGGAGAAGCCTCAGCAGATGAATTGTGTGTGTGTGTGTGTGTGTGTGTGTGTTTAAATGAGTGATTGTCAGGCTCGTGACCTGCGGAGGGAGCAGCATTCCAGTGTGCCAGTGCCGACACATCCAGCTCCATCTCTGCTGTGTGTGTGTGTGTGTGTGTGTGTGAGGAGAGACTCCATTCAAAGCGCCACACTACCATATACTCTTACTTCTACATATCTTTACCGAGTTCAGACAGAATTTTGCTTACAGGCACTTACACTTGCATCCCTTCTATTGCCTGAAGATGGACCCCTAACTAACTATTTATTATCTTACCATGATTCATTATTATATTTAATTAAAAAACAAATCATTTCCGTTACTGTTATTATAAATGCTATGAAAACTTTACCTCAGTGAACTGAACCTGTACTCTTACAGTGAGGCTTCTTCATGTATGTGTGTGTGTGTGTGTGTGTGTGTGTGTGTGTGTTCATCACTGTAGGGAAGTGTGGTAATTATAACCATTGAACAGTGTTGATTTCTGATGGAGTGTGAGATGCAGCTTTCATGCCGTTGTTTTTATGCAGACTTTGACTTTTAATATAATGACACTATTTTCTTTTCTTATTTTTAGAACTGATTTACAGCAGAGTTGAACTCTGTTTACATCATCTTATCATTAATCTCCTGTTATCACTGTAAAGCTGCTTTGGAAAAATCTGTATTGTATAAAGAGCTATAAAAATTAAAGCGACTAGACTTGATTAGATTCATAAAGCAATGGTTCATAAATTTGAAATGTCTACAAAGAGGTTGAAATTGTGTTTACAGTTTTTTTTTCATTTGATCGCTGCTGGATCAGTTATTTTGGACGGCTAACAGCAGGATTATTAGTACTGAGAAACCTGTGAATGTCTGTCAGAGGCAGGTTAGCTTGTCTCCTCTCAGTTAATCCAAGTTCATCACCTCCGTTTGATGTTTTTCCTTACACCCCTTTCACTTGAAAGTATTAATGCATTATTCTCTGTCAAGCTGATTCGTATATGTATTTACACAACCCATGGACTGAATGAACCCCTTAATATTGGGCAGAGAGTGAAACAGGACCGTATTACGCTAATGACGGAGTCTGAGGTGAGACATACCTGTGTTTCAGCGCTGAGCTCCAGCGAGAGACGTTGAAGAGTTTAATTAAAGGGCGGGAACTGCTTCGCGCCTGTTCTCTGAGGGCGGGAAGAGTCTGTCACTGCAGTGTGTGCGCGCGCCCCGACAGCACTGGATTATTCCTCTCATCCGATCCTACGCTTCTGCTGTGTTTGAGTTGTAACAGCAGGTGAGTGTGATATTGTCGGATTGGTTAAAACTGAATTTACACGTTGCACGTTTGAAATTGAACACTGCGCTCTTCAGTAGACTTTGTGTAAAGCTGAAACGTGACGTTTCAAACTTGTACTGAAGTGTGTGAGTTGTGGTGTTGTACTGATGATGTTGCTGTGTGCGTGTCTGCTGAATGAAAGCATGCAAACAGTGACTGAAGTGTGTGATTTCTCGAGTTGTGTGTTCATCAGCTGAGAGGATGCGGGTTCGAGCGCTGCTCCTGATGCTCACGGCAGTCCTCATCGCGCATGCGCAAGGTACGCTATTTTTGTCGTTATTTCTTCTGTTTAGTGGTTTGTTTATCTTTCGATCTCTCATTGTATTGTTCTGTGATTTTATCTGTTGTGCTATCATTCAGTGTTTCTCTCTGTTGCGTTATCTATTGTTGTAATGTACAATTACTATGAATAGTTTTTTCTCTCCATTGTTCAGTCTTATTCTATTTCATTCTTAAAATGTCCAAATAACACCTGTTGTATTTTAGGTCACCCTTTTGACTAACTGATCAAAAGGGAACATTTTCACGGTTATAGTATTAGTTTCCTTACATTAGATGTTCCCTTTCACTGCTTAAGATTTCCTGAAGCGTGTTGGAAAGGTTAGAGATCTTATGAAAGGATTGTGTGTGTGTAGTTCCTCTAAGCGGCGTGAAGCGTGTTTGTACGGCGGCGGTGTCAGGATCTGTAGGAGATGTTCCTATAGGAGAGGATTCCTCTGTCAGGAGAAGCTGATGACCTGGAGCTCGTCCAGCAGAAACACGTCCAGATCTGTTCCTCACATACCTCAGGTGTCTGCAGCTCCAGAGCAGCAACCACAACTAGAACCTTAACGTTTCAGTAATTACACTTTAACAATAACGACACCGAGGAACAATAGCGCTGGAGTCACTTTCAGAATGAGTCTTTCCAGCTGGTGAATGAAGTCATCCGAGCATCGAGAGCTCAGGCGTGTAAAGCTGCAGTCGACACCACCGAGCGTTAGAAGTGGACTAGGGCTGTCTCTAGAGTTCGCACCCTTATCGTGAAATTAAGCATACATCATTTATCTTGTTTAACGCGTTCATTGTGCCATCCTGTGCATCTCTACCCAGCAGAGGAAAGCATCAGATATAAAGCGTTCTGTACACCGGGTGTATTGCGGTGCGCCTGAAACTCATGTGTTTGCTCTAGCATTAGAAGATGCTCAGTAAGCAGAGTGTGTCATAGGTTTGCATTGGTTTTATGTTTTTATTTTCTCTTTTTCTCTTTGGTTCCGCTTGTGGTGTTGAAAGTGCTCTATAAAGTTGAGTTGACTCTCACACAACTATTTTCTGCAAGCTTTTTTCAAGGTAAATGTAGGTGTCTTTCCAAAAGGACACCAAATAACCAAATAATACAAGGAGTCCATATAATTCAGAAATATAATTCAGCACCCATTAAAAAAGAAAACTTTACAGAGAGAAACGTGTGAGAAGTCAGAGTGTTTAGTGTGTGTAGTGTGTGTGTAGCGCGACAGCTAAGAGCGGTTTACAGTGGTCGACTCGAGTCTTTGAATCTCGTTCATCAAAATGAACAAATCTTTTTTTCAAGTCATTTGCAGAATATAATTATCATATTACATGTTAATAGCCAAATCCCCCAATCACATCAGATCAACATTTACAGTAAGGCTAAAAGTGCAATGCTAAAGGCCAAGTTATTATAAACAGAAACGATTGATTGATTGCTGTGTCTTCAGGATATGCCGTGTGTTAGTTTCCCTCGTCCCGACCCGAGTCGCTCGCTCCTCCCGGGTCCGCATCAGCGCAGCATATCGGCACCGGACACCGGATCGGCTAGGTCATCTCTCGCGTCTCGGGTTCCAGTCTTTCAGCCTTTCGTCCCGGAGCTGTTATCGTTGCTTTATCAAAGTGATCTTTCCCATCACACACATACAGTTTAAAGCGTTACCAACTCTTTATTACCACATTCAAAGTTATGGAAAAGAACCATGACAGAAATTCATAAAATATAATTTGTAAGAAATAAAAAAGCTACATTATGAGACCGGGAGCGCGGCATGTACCCGGAAGAGTCGAAGAACTGACTGTGTGCTTGTTTGTAAGGAAGTTTGGGAATTATGAACTCAACACTCGGTCACGCCGCCTGACCACAGAACGGGAGACTCCGACGACTCGAGAGGGGAACTAATCATTTCTGTTTCCCGTACAGAACCCATAGAACCCATAGAACCTTTAGTCAACACAAGATCAATGAATCACTCTCTGAGACGACTCGGTGTTCCCGAGTCATATTAAAGATTCGAAATGAGCGAATCATTCGTGACCGACCCATCACTACAGTCCGGTCCATCACAGCCTTACAGCGAGACGCCGGTTTGCGTATCATCTGCCGTACAGCGGTGTTTCATCAGTCTGTATCTCTCACACACACACACACACACACACACACACACACACACACACACACACACACACACACACACTCACACATGTTGTGTTTTCATGTTTTATGGGGACTTTCCATAGACATAATGATTTTTATACTGTACAGACTGTATATTCTATTCCCTTACACTAACCCTATCCCTAAACCTACCCATCACAGGAAACATTCTGCATTTTTACATTTTCAAACAACATCACTTAGTATGATTTATAAGCTGATTTCCTCATGGGGACCAAAAAATGTCCCCACACGAACAAGGATTTCGGATATTGCCATCCTTGTGGGGACATTTTGTCCCCATAACGTAGGGTTTACCAGGCCACACTCAAACACACACACACACACACCGAGTGGACGCGAGCCGGATGTTTTCCCGCTGTTGGGAGGAAGAGTGTTTTCAGTCGTCCGGCACTAAGGTTGGTTTTCTTCACACAGTGTTTCATCTTCTGCCTGTTGCATCCGCTGACCCGAGGAAACTCTCATGACTCTACAGAACACAGCCTGTGTGTGTGTGTGTTACAGAACACGGCCTGTGTGTGTGTGTGTGTGTGTGTGTTACAGAACACGGCCTGTGTGTGTGTGTCTGTGTGTGTGTGTGTGTTACAGAACACGGCCTGTGCTCTTCTGTAGAGACATGAGTGTGTGTGTGTGACGGGAACTGCCTGCTGACTGAGACACAAACTCTGGTTTGTGGGATCATTCAGTGTTGAGAAGAGTGTGTGTGTGTGTGTGTGTGTGTGTGCATGTATTTGTGTGTTCAGCTGTCAGACGGTGACTGTGGTTTCTCCAGTGCCGTAGATTGACGCTCTTTACATCTACACAAACACACACTTCTTCTGGATTGTTTCCCAAAATTCTCACTTTCTTCTCTGTCTGTCGTGGCAATAAGCCGAGCAGCCGGTCTCACACACACACACACACACACACACACACACACACACATCAGTGCTGCAGGGACGAGGAGAGAGTGAGACTTTATTCCTCTCTCGTTCCCCTCGTTCGTCTCTTTCCCCTCGTTCCCCTCGTTCCTCTCGTTCCCCTCGTTCCTCTCGTTCCCCTCGTTCCTCTAGTTCCCCTCTTTTCTCTCGTTCCCCTCTTTCCCCTCGTTCCCCTCGTTCCTCTCTTTCCCCTCTTTCCCCTCGTTTCTCTCGTTCCCCTCGTTCCTCTCTTTCCTCTCGTTCCCCTCGTTCCCCTCGTTCCTCTCTTTCCCCTCGTTCCCCTCGTTCCCCTCGTTCCTCTCGTTCCATCTGTCTGATACACAGATGATGTTTCAGATCTAATCAAACACCAGCTGTCAGTCAAACTTTACCTGTGCAGCCGGTGCTTGTGATTAGATGGACTGTTGTTCATCAGCTGTGCATGTTGACTGCAGGAGGGTGTGTTTGTGTGTGTGTGTGTGTATGTGTGTGTGTGTGTGTGACGCTCTTGTCTCCGCTGTGTTTGCAGTGCCGATGCCCAGAAGGCTTCGCTTCAGAGAGTTGAGCTCTGACAGGCTGAGCGTGAGCTGGAAGGAGCCGAAGGGAGCGTTCGATGGATACACACTCGCGTACAGCACTGGCTCAGGTGAGCGCTGATACACACATTCGTGTACAGCACCGGCTCTGGTGAGCGCTGAGATCCTGAAGCGGGATCTGCCCAGATATAAAAACACAGCGGATGTGTCCGGTAGCGATTTATAGCTAGTGCTCCTCGTGATCACAATGTAAGGGATAATGTACATCCAGCCGGTTGTTATCTCAGAATACACCCGACAGGGTGATCAGGATCAGGTCTTCCATCAGCCTGAAGGGGGTTTATTCTGAGCTAACGACCGGCTTAATGTACATTATCCCACTTATTACACGGCTGCTTGCCACATAAGTAAATTAGATTGTTAATCTAATTACTTAGATTGTTAAAATCGGTCCGATATCTGAAAGTGTTGCTGTCTGTGTTGTGTTCAGCAGGAGCCGAGCATGAGCTGAGCGTGAGTAAGTCTGAGCCCAGAGCCGTGATCGAGGGGTTTGACCGCATGAGAGAGGTCAGTGTGAAGGTCACGGCCCTCAGAGGGAAGGAGCGGAGCGAAGCGCTGCAGGGCAGATACAGCGGTCAGTGTTTTACTCTCACCCTATACACAAATGCACCTAACTAACCCACATCAGCTGTGCTGTGCTCCTGATGTTCCTCTGACTGTGTTCCTGGTGTTCCTCTGACTGTGTTCCTGATGTTCCTCTGACTGTGTTCCTGGTGTTCCTCTGACTGTGCTCCTGATGTTCCTCTGACTGTGCTCCTGATGTTCCTCTCTCTGTGCTCCTGATGTTCCTCTGACTGTGCTCCTGATGTTCCTCTCTCTGTGCTCCTGATGTTCCTCTGACTGTGCTCCTGATGTTCCTCTGACTGTGCTCCTGATGTTCCTCTGACTGTGCTCCTGATGTTCCTCTGACTGTGCTCCTGATGTTCCTCTGACTGTGCTCCTGATGTTCCTCTGACTGTGCTCCTGATGTTCCTCTGACTGTGCTCCTGATGTTCCTCTGACTGTGCTCCTGATGTTCCTCTGACTGTGTTCCTGGTGTTCCTCTGACTGTGCTCCTGATGTTCCTCTGACTGTGCTCCTGATGTTCCTCTGACTGTGTTCCTGATGTTCCTCTGACTGTGCTCCTGATGTTCCTCTGACTGTGCTCCTGATGTTCCTCTGACTGTGCTCCTGATGTTCCTCTGACTGTGTTCCTGGTGTTCCTCTGACTGTGCTCCTGATGTTCCTCTGACTGTGCTCCTGATGTTCCTCTGACTGTGCTCCTGATGTTCCTCTGACTGTGCTCCTGATGTTCCTCTGACTGTGCTCCTGATGTTCCTCTGTCTGTGTTCCTGATGTTCCTCTGACTGTGTTCCTGGTGTTCCTCTGACTGTGCTCCTGATGTTCCTCTGACTGTGTTCCTGGTGTTCCTCTGACTGTGCTCCTGATGTTCCTCTGTCTGTGCTCCTGATGTTCCTCTGACTGTGCTCCTGATGTTCCTCTGACTGTGTTCCTGGTGTTCCTCTGACTGTGCTCCTGATGTTCCTCTGACTGTGCTCCTGATGTTCCTCTGACTGTGCTCCTGATGTTCCTCTGTCTGTGTTCCTGATGTTCCTCTGACTGTGTTTCTGGTGTTCCTCTGACTGTGCTCCTGATGTTCCTCTGACTGTGTTCCTGGTGTTCCTCTGACTGTGCTCCTGATGTTCCTCTGACTGTGTTCCTGATGTTCCTCTCTCTGTGCTCCTGATGTTCCTCTGACTGTGTTCCTGATGTTCCTCTCTCTGTGCTCCTGATGTTCCTCTGACTGTGCTCCTGATGTTCCTCTGACTGTGTTCCTGATGTTCCTCTGACTGTGTTCCTGATGTTCCTCTGACTGTGCTCCTGATGTTCCTCTGACTGTGTTCCTGGTGTTCCTCTCTCTGTGCTCCTGATGTTCCTCTGACTGTGCTCCTGATGTTCCTCTGACTGTGCTCCTGATGTTCCTCTGACTGTGTTCCTTGTGTTCCTCTGACTGTCCTCCTGATGTTCCTCTGACTGTGCTCCTGATGTTCCTCTGACTGTGCTCCTGATGTTCCTCTCTCTGTGCTCCTGATGTTCCTCTGACTGTGCTCCTGATGTTCCTCTGTCTGTGTTCCTGATGTTCCTCTCTCTGTGCTCCTGATGTTCCTCTGACTGTGCTCCTGATGTTCCTCTGACTGTGCTCCTGATGTTCCTCTCTCTGTGCTCCTGATGTTCCTCTCTCTGTGCTCCTGATGTTCCTCTGACTGTGCTCCTGATGTTCCTCTCTCTGTGCTCCTGATGTTCCTCTGACTGTGTTCCTGATGTTCCTCTGACTGTGTTCCTCTGACTGTGCTCCTGATGTTCCTCTGACTGTGCTCCTGATGTTCCTCTGACTGTGTTCCTGATGTTCCTCTGACTGTGCTCCTGATGTTCCTCTGACTGTGCTCCTGATGTTCCTCTGACTGTACTCCCGATGTTCCTCTGACTGTGCTCCTGATGTTCCTCTGACTGTGCTCCTGATGTTCCTCTGACTGTGCTCCTGATGTTCCTCTGACTGTGCTCCTGATGTTCCTCTGACTGTGCTCCTGATGTTCCTCTGACTGTGCTCCTGATGTTCCTCTGACTGTGTTCCTGATGTTCCTCTGACTGTGCTCCTGATGTTCCTCTGACTGTGCTCCTGATGTTCCTCTGACTGTGTTCCTGATGTTCCTCTGACTGTGCTCCTGATGTTCCTCTGACTGTGCTCCTGATGTTCCTCTGACTGTGCTCCCGATGTTCCTCTGACTGTGTTCCTGATGTTCCTCTGACTGTGCTCCTGATGTTCCTCTGACTGTGCTCCTGATGTTCCTCTGACTGTGTTCCTGATGTTCCTCTCTCTGTGCTCCTGATGCTCCTCTGACTGTGCTCCTGATGTTCCTCTCTCTGTGCTCCTGATGTTCCTCTGACTGTGTTCCTGATGTTCCTCTCTCTGTGCTCCTGATGTACATCTGACTGTACTCCTGATGTTCCTCTCTCTGTGCTCCTGATGTTCCTCTGACTGTGCTCCTGATGTTCCTCTGACTGTGCTCCTGATGTTCCTCTGACTGTGCTCCTGATGTTCCTCTGACTGTGCTCCTGATGTTCCTCTGTCTGTGTTCCTGATGTTCCTCTGACTGTGTTCCTGGTGTTCCTCTGACTGTGCTCCTGATGTTCCTCTGACTGTGTTCCTGGTGTTCCTCTGACTGTGCTCCTGATGTTTCTCTGTCTGTGCTCCTGATGTTCCTCTGACTGTGCTCCTGATGTTCCTCTGACTGTGTTCCTGATGTTCCTCTGACTGTGCTCCTGATGTTCCTCTGACAGTGCTCCTGATGTTCCTCTGACTGTGCTCCTGATGTTCCTCTGTCTGTGTTCCTGATGTTCCTCTGACTGTGTTTCTGGTGTTCCTCTGACTGTGCTCCTGATGTTCCTCTGACTGTGTTCCTGGTGTTCCTCTGACTGTGCTCCTGATGTTCCTCTGACTGTGTTCCTGATGTTCCTCTCTCTGTGCTCCTGATGTTCCTCTGACTGTGTTCCTGATGTTCCTCTCTCTGTGCTCCTGATGTTCCTCTGACTGTGCTCCTGATGTTCCTCTGACTGTGTTCCTGATGTTCCTCTGACTGTGTTCCTGATGTTCCTCTGACTGTGCTCCTGATGTTCCTCTGACTGTGTTCCTGGTGTTCCTCTCTCTGTGCTCCTGATGTTCCTCTGACTGTGCTCCTGATGTTCCTCTGACTGTGCTCCTGATGTTCCTCTGACTGTGCTCCTGATGTTCCTCTCTCTGTGCTCCTGATGTTCCTCTCTCTGTGCTCCTGATGTTCCTCTCTCTGTGCTCCTGATGTTCCTCTGACTGTGCTCCTGATGTTCCTCTCTCTGTGCTCCTGATGTTCCTCTGACTGTGCTCCTGATTTTCCTCTCTCTGTGCTCCTGATGTTCCTCTGACTGTGCTCCTGATGTTCCTCTGACTGTGCTCCTGATGTTCCTCTGACTGTGTTCCTGATGTTCCTCTCTCTGTGCTCCTGATGTTCCTCTGACTGTGCTCCTGATGTTCCTCTGTCTGTGTTCCTGATGTTCCTCTGACTGTGCTCCTGATGTTCCTCTGACTGTGTTCCTGATGTTCCTCTCTCTGTGCTCCTGATGTTCCTCTGACTGTGCTCCTGATGTTCCTCTGACTGTGCTCCTGATGTTCCTCTCTCTGTGCTCCTGATGTTCCTCTGACTGTGCTCCTGATGTTCCTCTCTCTGTGCTCCTGATGTTCCTCTGACTGTGCTCCTGATGTTCCTCTGTCTGTGTTCCTGATGTTCCTCTGACTGTGCTCCTGATGTTCCTCTCTCTGTGCTCCTGATGTTCCTCTGTCTGTGCTCCTGATGTTCCTCTCTCTGTGCTCCTGATGTTCCTCTGACTGTGTTCCTGATGTTCCTCTGACTGTGTTCCTGATGTTCCTCTGACTGTGCTCCTGATGTTCCTCTGACTGTGCTCCTGATGTTCCTCTCTCTGTGCTCTTGATGTTCCTCTGACTGTGTTCCTGATGTTCCTCTCTCTGTGCTCCTGATGTTCCTCTGTCTGTGCTCCTGATGTTCCTCTCTCTGTGCTCCTAATGTTCCTCTGACTGTGCTCCTGATGTTCCTCACTCTGTGCTCCTGATGTTCCTCTGACTGTGCTCCTGATGTTCCTCTGACTGTGCTCCTGATGTTCCTCTGACTGTGCTCCTGATGTTCCTCTGACTGTGCTCCTGATGTTTCTCTCTCTGTGCTCCTGATGTTCCTCTGACTGTGTTCCTGATGTTCCTCTGACTGTGCTCCTGATGTTCCTCTCTCTGTGCTCCTGATTTTCCTCTCTCTGTGCTCCTGATGTTCCTCTGACTGTGCTCCTGATGTTCCTCTGACTGTGCTCCTGATGTTCCTCTGACTGTGTTCCTGATGTTCCTCTCTCTGTGCTCCTGATGTTCCTCTGACTGTGCTCCTGATGTTCCTCTGTCTGTGTTCCTGATGTTCCTCTGACTGTGCTCCTGATGTTCCTCTCTCTGTGCTCCTGATGTTCCTCTGACTGTGCTCCTGATGTTCCTCTGACTGTGCTCCTGATGTTCCTCTGACTGTGCTCCTGATGTTCCTCTGACTGTGCTCCTGATGTTCCTCTGACTGTGCTCCTGATGTTCCTCTCTCTGTGCTCCTGATGTTCCTCTGACTGTGCTCCTGATGTTCCTCTCTCTGTGCTCCTGATGTTCCTCTGACTGTGCTCCTGATGTTCCTCTGACTGTGCTCCTGATGTTCCTCTCTCTGTGCTCCTGATGTTCCTCTCTCTGTGCTCCTGATGTTCCTCTGACTGTGCTCCTGATGTTCCTCTGACTGTGTTCCTGATGTTCCTCTCTCTGTGCTCCTGATTTTCCTCTCTCTGTGCTCCTGATGTTCCTCTGACTGTGCTCCTGATGTTCCTCTCTCTGTGCTCCTGATGTTCCTCTGACTGTGTTCCTGATGTTCCTCTGACTGTGCTCCTGATGTTCCTCTGACTGTGCTCCTGATGTTCCTCTGACTGTGCTCCTGATGTTCCTCTGACTGTGTTCCTGATGTTCCTCTCTCTGTGTTCCTGATGTTCCTCTGACTGTGCTCCTGATGTTCCTCTGACTGTGTTCCTGATGTTCCTCTGACTGTGCTCCTGATGTTCCTCTGACTGTGCTCCTGATGTTCCTCTGACTGTGTTCCTGATGTTCCTCTCTCTGTGCTCCTGATGTTCCTCTCTCTGTGCTCCTGATGTTCCTCTGACTGTGCTCCTGATGTTCCTCTCTCTGTGCTCCTGATGTTCCTCTGACTGTGCTCCTGATGTTCCTCTGACTGTGCTCCTGATGTTCCTCTGACTGTGCTCCTGATGTTCCTCTCTCTGTGCTCCTGATGTTCCTCTGACTGTGCTTCTGATGTTCCTCTCTCTGTGCTCCTGATGTTCCTCTGACTGTGCTCCTGATGTTCCTCTGACTGTGCTCCTGATGTTCCTCTCTCTGTGCTCCTGATGTTCCTCTCTCTGTGCTCCTGATGTTCCTCTGACTGTGCTCCTGATGTTCCTCTGACTGTGTACCTGATGTTCCTCTCTCTGTGCTCCTGATTTTCCTCTCTCTGTGCTCCTGATGTTCCTCTGACTGTGCTCCTGATGTTCCTCTCTCTGTGCTCCTGATTTTCCTCTCTCTGTGCTCCTGATGTTCCTCTGACTGTGCTCCTGATGTTCCTCTCTCTGTGCTCCTGATGTTCCTCTGACTGTGTTCCTGATGTTCCTCTGACTGTGCTCCTGATGTTCCTCTGACTGTGCTCCTGATGTTCCTCTGACTGTGCTCCTGATGTTCCTCTGACTGTGTTCCTGATGTTCCTCCTCTGTGTTCCTGATGTTCCTCTGACTGTGCTCCTGATGTTCCTCTGACTGTGTTCCTGATGTTCCTCTGACTGTGCTCCTGATGTTCCTCTGACTGTGCTCCTGATGTTCCTCTGACTGTGTTCCTGATGTTCCTCTCTCTGTGCTCCTGATGTTCCTCTCTCTGTGCTCCTGATGTTCCTCTGACTGTGCTCCTGATGTTCCTCTGACTGTGCTCCTGATGTTCCTCTGACTGTGCTCCTGATGTTCCTCTGACTGTGCTCCTGATGTTCCTCTGACTGTGTTCCTGATGTTCCTCTGACTGTGCTCCTGATGTTCCTCTGACTGTGCTCCTGATGTTCCTCTGACTGTGTTCCTGATGTTCCTCTGACTGTGCTCCTGATGTTCCTCTGACTGTGCTCCTGATGTTCCTCTGACTGTGCTCCTGATGTTCCTCTGACTGTGCTCCTGATGTTCCTCTCTCTGTGCTCCTGATGTTCCTCTGACTGTGCTCCTGATGTTCCTCTGACTGTGCTCCTGATGTTCCTCTGACTGTGCTCCTGATGTTCCTCTCTCTGTGTTCCTGATGTTCCTCTGACTGTGCTCCTGATGTTCCTCTGACTGTGTTCCTGATGTTCCTCTGACTGTGCTCCTGATGTTCCTCTGACTGTGCTCCTGATGTTCCTCTGACTGTGTTCCTGATGTTCCTCTCTCTGTGCTCCTGATGTTCCTCTCTCTGTGCTCCTGATGTTCCTCTGACTGTGCTCCTGATGTTCCTCTGACTGTGCTCCTGATGTTCCTCTGACTGTGCTCCTGATGTTCCTCTGACTGTGCTCCTGATGTTCCTCTGACTGTGTTCCTGATGTTCCTCTGACTGTGCTCCTGATGTTCCTCTGACTGTGTTCCTGATGTTCCTCTGACTGTGCTCCTGATGTTCCTCTGACTGTGCTCCTGATGTTCCTCTGACTGTGCTCCTGATGTTCCTCTGACTGTGCTCCTGATGTTCCTCTCTCTGTGCTCCTGATGTTCCTCTGACTGTGTTCCTGATGTTCCTCTGACTGTGCTCCTGATGTTCCTCTGACTGTGCTCCTGATGTTCCTCTGACTGTGCTCCTGATGTTCCTCTGACTGTGCTCCTGATGTTCCTCTGACTGTGCTCCTGATGTTCCTCTGACTGTGCTCCTGATGTTCCTCTCTCTGTGCTCCTGATGTTCCTCTAACTGTGCTCCTGATGTTCCTCTGACTGTGTTCCTGATGTTCCTCTGACTGTGCTCCTGATGTTCCTCTCTCTGTGCTCCTGATGTTCCTCTAACTGTGCTCCTGATGTTCCTCTGACTGTGCTCCTGATGTTCCTCTGACTGTGCTCCTGATGTTCCTCTGACTGTGCTCCTGATGTTCCTCTCTCTGTGCTCCTGATGTTCCTCTAACTGTGCTCCTGATGTTCCTCTCTCTGTGCTCCTGATGTTCCTCTAACTGTGCTCCTGATGTTCCTCTAACTGTGCTCCTGATGTTCCTCTGACTGTGCTCCTGATGTTCCTCTCTCTGTGCTCCTGATGTTCCTCTCTCTGTGCTCCTGATGTTCCTCTCTCTGTGCTCCTGATGTTCCTCTGACTGTGCTCCTGATGTTCCTCTGACTGTGCTCCTGATGTTCCTCTCTCTGTGCTCCTGATGTTCCTCTCTCTGTGCTCCTGATGTTCCTCTCTCTGTGCTCCTGATGTTCCTCTGACTGTGCTCCTGATGTTCCTCTCTCTGTGCTCCTGATGTTCCTCTGACTGTGCTCCTGATGTTCCTCTCTCTGTGTTCCTGATGTTCCTCTGACTGTGCTCCTGATGTTCCTCTCTCTGTGCTCCTGATGTTCCTCTGACTGTGCTCCTGATGTTCCTCTCTCTGTGCTCCTGATGTTCCTCTCTCTGTGCTCCTGATGTTCCTCTCTCTGTGCTCCTGATGTTCCTCTGACCGTGCTCCTGATGTTCCTCTCTCTGTGCTCCTGATGTTCCTCTGACTGTGCTCCTGATGTTCCTCTCTCTGTGCTCCTGATGTTCCTCTGACTGTGCTCCTGTCAGGATCAGGATTGGGATCGGAGGTGAGTGTCGTCGAGGTTTCGCTCCATGAACAGGGCAGTGGCGGGTCGAATGATGGCATCACTGGAGGTGAGGAGAAACAGCACTGAAGATGAAGCTGGTCAGCGAGTCCATGTACAGTCGCTCTGTTCATAAATCGCCTGACTTGTTAAAACCCATTCCAACGGTTCGGCGTTACACGGCTATAAACAAGAAATAATGGTAACAATTTAGAACACTGTTCCTTCATTAATGAATAACTTCACAGGCACAAATGAGTACGCACTATTAATATTCTAGTAACAATTATTAACAAGAAACTCTGATTAACAAATTAGTAAGTAATAGCGCCCAGTTGAATGTGGTTGTTCACTATTAGCTAATCAATAACTACTATTTTTCATTCCTCCCAGATAAGTAATATATACAGGTTCATAATTAACATGAATAATGCATAATTTATAATAAAATGTAACGGTAACCCACTAGTAATGACTCAAGTGTTCCTACATCCTTCTAAAGGAACTACTAATTATTTGGATCAGTATCTAAGTGTGTTCCCATGATCTTCACTAGGATATTAGCTAATGGTGAACTTCCACATTCATCTGAGCGCTATTACTTACTAACTCATTAATCAGAGTTTCTTCTTAGTTAATAGTTGTTACTAGGGATGGCCCGATACCGTTTTTTTTCAAACCGATACGAGTACGAGTATTTACATTTGTGTACTTGCCGATACCGAGTACCGATACCGATATTTCTACCGCAAAGGTAATAGGCTCCCAGAAAAGAAGACGACTATTTTAGAAC